AGTTACTTATTGGGAACAAGCTATTTCAGGAAACATTGGTATTTAGAGTCTAATTGGAATCTCAAAGTTGGAAAAGAGCACAGAAGTCACCTAGTCTAGCTTAGGTAATGGATCAACATCCTTATGCTAACACTTGCCCATCCAAGTATACAAGAAGCTTATTCTGATATCACTGAGTTTAGAAGCCTATAAGATGCGGTTATCATCAACAAATAACAAACGACAAATGCTGGAGAGGATGTGGAGAAAAGGAACCCTCGTGCACTGTGGTGGGAATGCAGACTGGTGCAGCCACTGTGGAGAACAGTATGGCGTTTCCTCAAAAAATTAAAAATGGAACTCCCATTTGACCCAGTGATCCCACTTCTAGAAATGTATCCCAATAAAACAGAACACCAATCAGAAAGGATATATGCACCCCTATGTTCATAGCAGCATCATTTACAATAGCTAAGATTTGGAAACAGCCTAAGTGCTCATCAGCAGAGGAGTGGATTAGAAAACTGTGGTACATCTACACGATGGAATTCTATGCTGCTGTAAAAAAAGCAGGAATTCTTACCATTTGCAAGAGCATGGATGGAACTAGAGAGCATTATGCTAAGTGAAATAAGCCAGTCAGAGAAAGATAAATGTCACATGGTCTCACTCATTTGTGGATTATAATGAATAACATAAACTGATGAACAAAGTAGAACCAGAGACATAGAAGCATCGAACAGACTGTACAACCTATGAGGGAAGGTGGTGGGAGGATAAGAGATCAACCAAAGGACTTGTATGCATGCATATGAGCAAAATCAATGGACACAGACAGTAGGGGAGGGGAGTGAGGGCTTGTACTTGGGAAGGAGGAGGTGGGGAGATAGGTTAATGGGGGTAAAATGGAGACTCATGTAATACTTTAAACAATAAAGATTTTTTTAAAAAAGATGCCTCACTTTTCTGGTTTATGTCAATCATTTCCTCTTCATAATGTATCACTAAAAAGCAATGATAATTTACATATTTATATAGTTTTTATTATAGTTTACAAGTTTCAACAAACTTTCACACATGTTTATGATTTGACTATCTCCACAAGCCAGTGAATTAGTCAGAGAAATGAAGTGTTCCACTTACAGATAAGCAAACAAAGGTTTAGCGAGGTTAATGGAAATTAACCTGAGGTTCCTTAGAAATAGATTAATGGGGTCAGAAGAAAAAATTAGCTCTGATTTCTAGTTTTCTCTTAATCACTGTACCATTAGTGGATGATTATATAAATTTGGGTACTGGTTTCTTTCTCTTCACTTTTTTTCATGTAAAGCTTGTTTCTTCAACTCTGCAGTAATCTTCCAAAAGATTTACATTTCTTCTGGCTGAGGCTACAGTAAGATGGCCCACGAGTAATGGTTCTTCCCATTTGGACCACAGACTTGCAGTGAAGATTAAGAAATAAGTGTTGCTTGTTTAAGTGAGTAAGCTCCCCTTTATAGCTGGATAAAATGATGATGTGATTCTATTTTACCAGCATTTAGATGAAGGATTTAACAGTTTTCTGGGTAACTTAACAACTATAGGAAGTCAGCCTGGATATTTCCAGCCTGTTGAGTTGGTTTTCTCTTTGTTTGAATTCTCCACAGAGTTCTCTGTCCCGGTCAATTGACGAGAAAGCTGCTGAGCTTGCCAATCACTGTGTGCTGGAGAGAAGGTGCTACAGAACACAGATATCTCATGTTCCACCCATCAAACGACTCATGAAGAAAATAAAATTCATACTCTAAAATAGACATGACTTTTTATTTTTCTGACTTTTTTCCTTCTATAGTCTAAGAGCAGTGCTGGAGTTATATTTTGAGTCTTGACATTTAGATACCTAGAGATACACAGAATTCATAACGTAAAAAATAAAAGTGTGCAGAAATGTAACTTCTATGGATAGAAGCCTTCTAATGGACCCATCTCAGTTGATGTATTTGTGGCTTACAAATTTTTTCTGATGGTTTTTAGTGTGGGTCCTCTGCCTCTCTCTTGTCTATTCTGTTTATTTTTAGGGGAATTATTCAAAGGGAAAAAGAATACATCTGTGACCAGCTTGTGATGTATTTATCTTATACATAAAGAGATTTGATTTCTTTCCCATGGTCCTGCTATCATGCCCTATCCAACATGCCCATCACAATGAGAGAGAGAGAGAGAGAGAGAGAGAGAGAGAGAGAGAGAGAGAGAGAGAGAGAGAGAGATTGCATCTGATTCCTATATATACCATAAATAAGAAGAATTGCTTAGGGTTTCTTCTAACTATTCTGATTCTCATTACCTTGCCCTTTTATGGAGATGCATGATGAAAATCACAGCCTTTATTTACATAGTAACAAAATACTTTCCTCCCATTCTGTTTTATCTCAGATTAACTTGTCCTTTCCTTGACTCCCCCCTTTCCTCTATTTGTAAACTCAGTACCAACAAATGTGACCTGCCTACCACTTCCATTCAAGTAACCTTTTTTTAGTTCCTACCCACAATTTGGTTTCACTGAGTAATCTCAATGAGGAAATATCTACAAGACCACTTGGCAAGACTTGAGATTTTCCATTCTTTTTGAAAACTAATGAAAAGGCAATTATTGCCTCACACTGTTCTGTTTCACAAAGAACTGCTTTTCTAGTCCCTGAACAGAATCCTCTGTTGCTGTCTTTTATCCTCAGTCACTCCCTGACTTCTTTCCCTAATGTTATTTGACCAATACTGAGGTAAACATATCTTTGGGTCCAGGGAAGTGGCTGCGTTTCTCAGTTGGGAACAGCCATCATACAAGCATGAGAACATTTGTTGAGTGTTTACTATGTACCAGGAACAGAAGGATATGGAGATAGGTAAGACAACCTTGCTCTTTGCAAAGAGCTCCCTGTCTAGCAGGTTAGACCACTATGTAAACAAATTTAGTAATTTCAATTTGTGAGACTCTCAGATCTGAAGAAGCTCATGCTGAGTATAGAGACAGAGGAGATGCATCTGTAACTAGCTTTGGCAGTAGTAGATGAAGAAGACTTTCTGGAAGAATTGAGTTCTGAGCTCGATTTTGAAATATGAGTAGGGATTGCCAGGTGAATAATAGGACAATGGAGGTGGGCTTGTGAAGAAGGATATGGAAAGAAATTAGTCTTGTAATAAAGGCACAGATCAGTTTTATTATAGACCTTTAGGAGACACGTGACCAGATTTATAATTAGAAACATCATTTTGACTCTGTCAAGATGATGGATTTAAATGCAAGAGCTGAGAGCAGTTAGATATCTATTTAAATTAGGGGTTGACAAACTATTGTCAGGCCAAATCTGACCCAGCAACAGTCTATTTTTTTTAGTATATTTAATTGATTTTTTACAGAGAGGAAGGGAGAGGGAGAGAGAGTTAGAAATATTGATCAGCTGCCTCCTGCACACTCCCCACTGGGGATGTGCCCGCAACCAAGGTACATGCCCTTGACTGGAATCGAACCTGGGACCCTTGATCCCGCAGGCCGATGCTCTATCCACTGAGCCAAACCGGTTAGGGCGCAACAGTCTATTTTTGTAAATAAAGTTTTATTGGAACATAGCCATACTCTTCTGTTTATGTGTGGCTTATGGCTGCTTTCATATTACCAGGATAGATTTGAGAGGTTGCAACAAAGACTATATGTCCCACATTTGGCCCTTTACAGTAAAAGTTTGCTAATTTAAGTAGTGCAAGAATTAAGGTAGCAGAAGATGATGGCTTGAACTAAAGCTGGGGCAGTAGGGGTAGAGAGGAGTGGATGGTGCAAGAGCTATTTAGGAGGAAATGAGGATAGAATTTGGTGAATGATTGGGATGAAGATAAGGGCAAAGATGTGAGAGACATGAGTCTGGGAAGAGTCCTAGTTTCTGGATCTCTATTTAGCATCGTGTCTTGCATAAATATGCAAAAGAAGCTGGGAGGTGCAAACCCAGTAGGAAAGATAATGTGTGTATGTAAAGATAAATATCTTTAATACAAGATTGAAAGAAATTAGGTCATGAAATTTCAGGGGAGAGATGATGTTTACATGAATATTTAGGGATAGCTTAAAGTAAAAGTAATAGTTTGAGTTTTGAAAAATTAAGAGGATTTGGACATAGGATAGGAGGTGAGAAAGAAGATGTAGGAGCAGAAGTAAGGATCTGGACACCAGGTGGGAAAATACAGCGATGCCAACTTTAGGAGCTTGGATTTTATAGAATAGACCATGAAAGTCTGAAGGTTTTAAGTAGGAGAATGATAATGTTAGAACTGCACTTTGGCAATGAGATTACAGTTGCTGAATAGAGAAAAGATCAAAAAAAAGAAAAGAAAAGGAAACTAACATTTGTCTTTCAAAGCTTTGCTTTGCTGACACTTTCAGAAAATATTTGTTCTTCCTTTATGTTTCCACCATGCCCCTAAGACTCCTAGAATCAGAGCACTGGTTACCCTTTGTTGTAATAGAATGTGAGAAGCCAGGGACTGTGACATTCTTAGTACAGTGCCATGGGTAAGACCTGTCTGGGATTGACCTTTATATGACGTGACCCTCTCCGGGCCTTGGTATTCTCATCTGGGCTTAATAATTGTGACTATTACTTGTAATTATTAAGTAAGATAATGTGTGAATAGCACTTAGAACAGTGGCTGGCACATAGTGAGGGCCAATACATGCTATTGATTATTATTTGTAGTGCCTAGCTCAGTGCTTGGAAACTAATAAGGATTTTGTTGAATGAGTGATTTTAAGTGCCTACAGTGAGCCAGAGACTTTGTATTAACACTTCTGCAAAAAAAAAAATATATCATTTCTAATTTTAGAGAAGATGTAAGAGCTCTGATAGAAAATGACAGAACCAAGATGTAGACGGAAACTTACCACGCCCTATTTAGTAGAGAGCTGGTAGGAGAGAGAGAATTTAAAGAGATGAGAGGAATGGATGGACTCAAGCCCTCAGGAGACAGGAGAGGAACTGTATCAAAAGCATGGATGAAGGCCCTCGACTGCTTTCCTGAGATAACACAGAGGAGAAACTATGGAGGGTAAGTGTAAGGTGAAGGGGAGGGAAGTAAAACGGTTAGCTGAGTAGGAGGTTGGCAGGCTGGGAAGCCTGCTAAAACAGGAATCGAAGAAGACTCCAAGTTCTTGAGCTTAGGTAACTAGAGGAATGATGATGCCATTTGTAGAAATAGAAATGTGAAGATTTGTTTTTTGTGTATGAACTTGAGTGTTTAGTTACAGATATAAAGTTTGATACTCCCAAAACATTAAGCAATGAGTTGGAAATGTGGCCCTAGAGCTTGGGGGAGACATGGGTACTGTAGTGAAACATGTAGAAGTCATCTGTCTGGAAGTGAGGGCTGAAGTCATGGGCACTGCATGCATGGACAAAGCACCGGGTTAGTCAGCCCCACAGGCCGGTTCTTGACTCAGCCTGAGAAAGGGCTGGCCCACCAGGACCCCATGCCCATCCCTGATACATATTTGTAAGCTGATTTTTGACACTGAATTTCCTCGTTGGCCCATTAAAGGTGTGGCAAGTGACCAGTGTGCAGTCTCAGGAACTTTCTGCATGAATAAAAAGCAGTGCCAGCAACAGGTAAAGTTGTCTAACACAGGGAAAGAGGAGACAGAGGAGTGAAGGCCCGCTTAAAGGGTCAACTTCTTCACCTTTGGTGCTGGCTACCGAGCCCAACCTCTCCTGCCTTTTCTAAGCACAGAGCTTTAGAAATGAATTGAATCTGCTTAAAGCTACCCACCAGAGAATCTGATGCAAGTGAAATTATTTGGTCAGAGAGGGTCATAAACACATGATAAAATCTGACCTTTCCAAGAGGGGATTATCTGTAAATAACTGCGGTTATCCCCTGGGGTGCTGGGCATAAGCCTGGTGGAGGGGCAGAGAGAAGAGCTATTTCCTCAGCTTCCTGGGCATCACTCCAAGAGGTGAACAGCAGAAGGGCTTTACAGAGGCTCAAGTATAAGCCCTCGCAGTCATACACCCACTTCCTGCTGGCAGGGCCACAGCAAATTTACGGGGGCTCCTCGGCTCTGCTGAGCAATGGAATGTGGCTACCAGGAAAAGAATATGAACATTGCTGTTTCTAAATATGTCACCAGTGAAGCTCCTTTTAAAATATTAATTGTGGCAGTGTTGAAAACGCATAAAAGAACTGACAATCGTGCTTGTTCAGACCACAGAAAGTTTAATTTCAAAATGTGGTTTTGAATTGCTTTTTCTCCCTTTCTGCCGGTAAGCAATGGATTCATCAAAACCCTTTCTTTTGAATAAAAGAAGAGCCCCTAATGGTGCCCATCCAGTGTCATTAATGTGGAGGAGGTGAGTGTTATGAGACAGCCTACATTTATGAGGAGCCCATTCGTGAGCCAAATGCCCATTGGAGTGGTTGCTAACAGATCCATTCCCTTAGTTTCCAAGATAAGAAAGAATCAACCCTGTTTTTTAAGACTTGGTATGCAGTGATCACCATATGGTTGTTCAGTAACCTATGCAGAGGAGACCTTTGTTTACTAAATCAGCAGTTCATTTCCTTTGTCGTGTCCCCAGCCCCCGCCCAGGCAATCTGACTTCTGTTGTTTTCAAATTACAACAAAAAGAAGATAAATTTCTTTTTTTATATTTTATTTGGTTATTTTGTTCATTATATTCCACACAGAATTGAAATTATATGTTATTTGTTGTTCTCTGATTGGCTTATTTCATTTAGCATAACATTCTCCAAGTTCATCCATGTTGTGGCAGATGGTAAGATTTCCTTCTTTTTTTTTTTTTTTTTGGCTGAATAGTATTCCATTGCGTAAATGTACCAAGCTTTTTTTATCTACTCATTTACTGAAGGGCACATGGGTGGTTTCAAATCTTGGCTATTGTAAATAATGCTGCAATGAATATAGGAGTGCATTGATTCAAATTAGTGGTTTCTTGAGATATATTCCAGAAATGGAATCCCTGTGTCATAGGGCAGTTCCATTTTTAATTTTTTGAGGACACTCCATACTCTTTTTCCACAGAATGCACCAATCTGCATTCCTCCTAATGGTGCAAGAGTGGTCCCTTATCTTCACATCTTCCCCAACACTTGTTGTTTATTGACTTATTGAAGATAGCCATTCTGTTAGGCATGAGATGATATCTCATTGTGGTTTTTATTTGCATCTCTGATAATTAGTGATGATAAGCATCTTTTCATATGTCTATTGGTCTTCAGTATATATTCTATAGAGATGTTTCTATTCAGGCCATTTGCCATTTTTTAATTGGATTTTTATGGTTTCTAGTCTCTTTTTTTTTTTAAATCTTTATTGTTCAGATTATTACATTTGTTCCTCTTCCCCCCCCCCCCATAACTCCCCTCCTTCCAGTTCCCACCCCACCTTCCGCCCTCACTCCCCACCCACTGTCCTCATCCATAGGTGCACGATTTTTGTCCAGTCTCTTCCCACATCTCCCACACCCCTTTCCCCCCCCCCAAGAATAGTCAGTCCATTCCCTTTCTATGTCTCTGATTCTATTATAATCAACAGTTCATTCTGTTCATCAGATTATTTATTCACTTGATTCTTAGATTCACTTGTCGATAGATGCATATTTGTTGTTCATAATTTGTATCTTTACCTTTTTCTTCTTCCTCTTCTTAAAGGATACCTTTCAGCATTTCATATAATACTGGTTTGGTGGTGATGAACTCCTTTAGCTTTTCCTTATCTGTGAAGCTCTTTATCTGACCTTCAATTCTGAATGATAGCTTTGCTGGATAAAGTAATCTTGGTTGTAGGTTCTTGGCATTCATCACTTTGAATATTTCTTGCCACTCCCTTCTGGCCTGCAAAGTTTCTGTTGAGAAATCAGCTGACAGTCGTATGGGTACTCCCTTGTAGGTAACTGACTTTCTTTCTCTTGCTGCTTTTAAGATTCTCTCTTTGTCTTTTGCTCTTGGCATTTTAATTATGATGTGTCTTGGTGTGGTCCTCTTTGGATTCCTTTTGTTTGGGGTTCTCTGCGCTTCCTGGACTTGGAAATCTATTTCTTTCAGCAGGTAGGGGAAGTTTTCTGTCATTATTTCTTCAAATAAGTTTTCAATATCTTGCTCTCTCTCATCTTCTGGCACACCTATAATTCTGATGTTGGTACACTTGAAGCTGTCCCAGAGGCTCCTTACACTATCTTTGTATTTTCGGATTCTTTTTTCATTTTGCTTTTCCGGTTGGGTGTTTTTTGCTTCTTCGCATTTCAAATCTTTGACTTGATTCTTGCGCTCCTCTGGTCTGCTGTTGGGAGTCTGTATAGTATTCTTTATTTCAGTCAGTGTATGCTTAATTTCTAGTTGGTTCTTTATCATAACATCGAGGGTCTCATTAGATTTCTTGTAGATCTCATTAAGTTTATCGGCGGCTTCTAAACAGTTCTTGAGAGACCTTAAAAGTTTGGTTCTGAACTCTATATCTTCCATTGACAATTTTGTCCTGTTTCTTTGTCTCCGCATTTTTTATGCTTTCTTGGTGCACCCCCTAGTGGTCTTTGTGCGCAGTCTTGTTGTAGTTAAGCCTTGATTGTTGTAGTTAATACTGGGGGGATTTGACCTCCAGGCCAACTGGCTGTGAGAGTCAGCTGTGTCTGCAGTGGGAAAACTTCTGTCCTCTGGGGAGGTGCTAATCTAGCCTTTGCCTGAGGCTATCCGGCAAATGGCTCTGTGCAGGCCTTGGGCAGAGCGGGTAGCACAGGATCAACAGGGCAGGCGGAGCAAGCAGTTATGGCTGCTCTCAGTCCCGTCCCCAGAGGCTCTGCCTCTCAGAGTCCCAGCAACCGCTGCAAACCTCAGAGAGAAAGCTGCCCTCGTGTTCCGACTGATGCCAGACAGTCCCACTTCTCCCGTTTGAGTCTGGGTCCCTAGAGACTCACCCAGAACTGGAGCTCAGGGCCTGAGCCTCCCTCCTGATTTAAAACGACAACTGCACCCTCAGCCACCAGCCCGCTCCGCGCGCACCTCCACACCTTTGTATTTCCGCACTGCACCTCCTCTGAGTCTCAGTATGCTGTTCTCTTTCCTTCTAGTTGAAGAATTTCCCCTCAGCCAGGTTTCCTGTGGTTCTGGGTGATGTCCGTTCCATCTTTTAGTTGTATTTTTAAAGTGGTTGCGCGAGGCAGCATTCTCCGGTGTTTACCTATGCCACCATCTTGGTTCTCCCTGCACTGCCTTTTAAATGGAGGAATGAATTGGTTTCTAGTCTTATGTTTAAGTCTTTAATCAATTTTGAGTTTATTCTTCTGTATGGTGAAAGAAGTTTGTCTAGTTTCTTTGTTTTTCTCTTTCTTTCTTTCTTTCTTTCTTTCTTTCTTTCTTTCTTCTTTTTTTTGCAGGTATCTGTCCAATTGGTTATTGGTTGCCTTCCACATGTGCCCCAAGTGGGGACTGAATCTGAATCCTGGGTATATACCCTAACTGGGAACTGAACCTATCACCTTTTGGTTTATGAGACAGTGCTTGAACCAACTGAGCCACACTGACCAGGGCCCAACACCATTTATTAAATAGACTACCTTTACCCCATTGTATGTTTTTGCCTCCTTTGTAAACTATTAGTTGACCATAAAGGCATAGGTTCATTTCTGGGCTCTGTATTCTGTTCCATTGATCTACATGTCTGTTTCTCTGGCAGTACCATGCTGTTTTGATTACTATTGCCTTGTAGTATAGTTTTGATGCAATCATAAATGTAGTTTTCCTTTATGATGACTCATTATAAAAATACAACTAATTTCTGGATATTTATTTTGTATCCTGCTACATTACTGAACTCCTTTATCTATCCTAGCAGTTTTTGTTGTTGTTGTTGTTGTTTTTTTTTTGGTGGAATCGGTAAGGTTCTCTCTATACCAGTGATGGTGAACCTATGACATGCGTGTCAGAAGTGACACATGAACTCAATTTTTTTGGTTGATTTTTCTTTGTTAAATGGCATTTAAATATATAAAATAAATATCAAAAATATAAGTCTTTGTTTTACCATGGTTGCAAATATC